ATCGCTACTCCGTCTGTGCTTGAGAATAATATGTCTCCACAAAGATCGTTAAGTTCTTGCTGCGTGATTAGTTGGGTGTGGTGCTGTGTCTTTTTCTAGATACTCAACATTATGTTCACTGGTTGCAGCCACTTTTGCGCTGTCGGAAGACTAGAGAGACTTCATCAATGGTCCAATCACTTTGTGGCTTAGCGATCAGGAAACGTTCATGAGGAACAGGACTCATGGCTGAACCTAGGTGAATGGCATACTTCGACAGTGCAGACAAACCTTGCACTTTAGTCAAACAGAAACAGTCTGAATGATCTTTTGATTCACGCCATACCACTGGAACTGCAAATGGCATTGAGGATTGTGAACCTTGCAACCATTTTCGCAAACATGAGCCGAACCACACATATGATGCATAAGTATTATCTTGGTCTCCAACGTTGCAGCTAATGCACAAATGATATGCCTTTTTCCCTAATGGCGTGAGATTGTAACTTTGGATTTTCGTTGCAAATTCCCTACAAACGTAACAAACATTTATAAATGATGCACAATAGTTTCTTTTTAAAGATAATCACATATTATACAAAATCACTTTAGACATTACTGTAGCAAGGCAATAAAACAGAACATTGAATTATTTCTAGTTGCTTACATTAAAATGTAGATAACCTCACTAGGTCAGCAAAAGACAGTTTAGTAAAACAATATTTCATCTGTAAAGGTAATGGCAACACACACTAATAATACAGTTTAATTCTGTGGATGGTTACAATTAATGTAAAACGATTATTATAACGTTCGTTTTGCTATTTGAATGAATTGAACAAATCATATAAAATTGCTCATTGCTTCAATATTTTCAGCAGACTGTCTTCCAATTACTTAGGATCTTTATTAAAGCCAAAATAACAATATTAATTTCAAGATCTTTATTGATTCAGATTCTGTTCTGACGTCGTTTGATATTTGTAGTCATTTTGGAAGTAATCCAAGTATTTGTAGTTTAGACAAAAATATTAAACTCTTTTGGATTTCTTCACATAAAGATCTGGTAGACAATACAAGTGCTGACTTGAGGGCAAAAGAGGCAGTGAGGTTTGGTAATCTTCTTTATATTGGTATTCCTTATTCTGATTCAATTTGCCAATATAAATGTGGGTGTAAGAAGGAAATTACTCTCAAGTTAATCTCACGACGAACAAATTAAGGAAAAACATGTTAATTATTTTTTTATAATTACAAGAAACCTTGGTTTCACCTGTTTGATATTCCACGAAAAGCCAATTGTCACAATTAATCGTATTAGAATCAATCAAAATAACAGTTTAAAAAACATAAAAATGTTAATAGAGGAATTTGTGGATGTGTTGAAGGATCTGAAGCTATTGAGCATGTACTTTGTCAGAGGTAATACCACGAGTGCTTGGGAAATTGTCGATAAATCCCCGACTGGCGAAGCGAGGAGGGAATTTATCTGAGAATTTACAAAGCACGAGTGGTAATTAATAGGACTGTTCCACGAGTATCATGATCAACATAGTTCCAAAATGCGCCAAATATTGAAAACAACTGAAAGCATATGTTAAAAATCTGAGGTTATGTTAAAGTACAAACGCTGTTTATTGGACATCGATATAGCGATCGATATATACCACCTCCTTAGATAGATGAGTCACAGTTTATGATTGGCAGTAGGAAGAAGCGATAAGAAAAAATCGGATAGAAAAGGCGATAAACTTTGATACTGTTAAAGGAAATAAATTTTATTCATGATGGACGAATTTCATAAAAAGTTTTACCGCAAAATTCCGAAAAATTGATTGACGGCAAATCGTCTTGTCAGTCTGTGTGTGGACAAAGCTAGTGCCCAAACAGTTAATTCGATATTTTACAAAATTGATATTCGTCGATCAATTTAAATGAACTTGAGGTCTTTTGAGTTTAAATGGATATTATAATTTTTTGGAGTGCTTTACACGCAGCCTCAATAACTTTTTGATAATTTTGACTGACAAATTGACAATAATTAAAGTGATCGTTACGTTTCCTTTGCAATTTTTATTTTTTGAAATTAAGTGAGTATTATTGATTAAAATTATCTAGAAAGATATTTCATACCTGAATGTTTTTATTATCAAGAAAAATTTTTCATATTTTCTTGAGAACATGATAGTAATTGAAAACGAACTTGATAAACATATTGTTCTATCTACAGGGAAAAGAATGTGAATGGTAGAGCTAGGTGATTACTTTGTAAGGTGAGGTAAAAAACAAAAATGACAAGCACAACGAATATCTGGGGTTCATTATAACGTAAATTTTGGAAGGCTCTCTTCACTCAAGGTAACAAATAAGTAGGTTGAAAAATTACATAGCACTACAGCGTTAATCTATAAAAGCACAAAAGAGTAATATGCAGTTTTCCTTGTTTTGTTCTCGAATTTTTCAAGAGATGGATGAAGTATTAGTAGTATTTTGTTGATTTGTTCAAGTTTGAAGTAACAAACAATTTTATTTCAATACGTACCTACGACAAATTCGTATTTTCAATTCCTTGAATCAAAGAGAGACAAAAAATCTGAAAATGCGAAAGATAGAAAACGAGTTCAGGAAAAATGTGCAACATTTTTGTAGAGATTTGAAATACGATTCGTATCGATCAGCTTTCCTTTCCGCGCGCACGCGTTAACAGGCGGCGCGCTGTGTGACTGTTAAGATTCAAAATATCCCTTAAACACAAGTTGAAAAAAAAAAAAAAATCAAAATTACTCAACGAAATTCATCTAACATATGATAATATGTATATTATTAGATTCCTTTTTTTTACGCTCGTCATGGTAGACAAAAAATGTATAGTTCTATTTGAAAAAAAACAATACAAAGTTACCTCAATATCTCGTATTAAACAAGTTATAAAATAGAAATTAATAAATGTATCAATTAGCCCCATTCCCTCATGCACTTCTGTGAAAATTGCATTGCAATAGATTTAACCGTTAAAAAATCGCAGGAGGTACTAAAGTTATGTGACTCACCCTATATAATGTAAGTGGATAAACGTGTGTTACAGCAACAATTGACAAGAAGATGTCTGAACCAGTAAATTGGTAGTACGCGCCGCAATTCGAAACACGACTTGTTTTTTGTGGAATAATTATGACGTTTCCACAATCTTCATTTACACACAAAATTCATATATTCGTTTGGATATTTCTCTGTCAACAAGTATTTCTTCCTCCTTTACACATCGTGACGTTTTGACAATAGAAGAAGAAAGACGAGGAGAGGGAAGGGAGACGTGCCCACCTCATAATTCTAAATCGCTGCCGAATGTTAGTTCCCGTTCCTGCTGTTCCAAGCGCCACCAGGCACATTAGGTTTAGTACTGTTTTGGAGGGAAAATATGGAACAACTCCATAACAACACTTGAACCATACTCCTATTAGCCAGTCTTTTGGACTAGTTTTGTCACGTTCGTGGGTTTAGTTTCCGTCAGTGTCCCTCGTGTCTCTTTAAAAATAAACATCGGAAATTATGCGTTGCACATTCTTAGAGATCTTTTACATTAATCTCCATCTCGATCAGGTTTTGTTCAGTTTCCCTAGTCCCTTGAGCAAATGCTGAGATGGCCCCTTGTTTTGCTCCTGAACTCTAATGTAACTTCGCTCTCTCCACCCAAGACATCATATTGAATCGTCATACAAGATTGTAATGTGACTCAATATTATATTATTATTATTATTATTATTATTATTATTATTATTATTATTATTATTATTATTAACGCGAGAGCCGAAAGCCCGAGCTCCACCTTGCACTTGGAAAGAGAATCTATAGAGAAGTCCAGAAGACGCGACTTTTAGAATTGGTGAGGGCAGCACTGTCGTTTCTGGGTGGCTAATGTCAGATGCTGGATGCCGCGGGATAATGGTTAAAATACGCCATGTGTGTTGATTGACAAGAACAAACCTCGGGAACCGCACAATACAACCAAAAACTTACTAACGCTCCTGCACACCAGTGTTCGTCACCCAACACTTTCCCGTCAGGAGTCTGGACCTCTGTATTGAAGTGACTCTTCGCAATGTATTTCCAAGTTGACGGCAAAGCTCAGGCCTTCGGTTCTCGTGTTAATATAAAACTTTCGTAAGAACGTGCAAAGCGTAATTAATCCCCACCAACGAGCTAGGATGTACTACATAGAGTGGCTGACCCTTGTTTTTAACGCTTTTGGTGGACGCTCGCCCAATCAGGTACCGCCATGTTTTTTGCAGTCAAAATAATAGATGGTGTCGTGTAGAACTCTTGTATTGAATTCACGTATGAGATCTTATTTATACACTGTTGTCTTTTCGTTTATCTGTTTTTAAATTATATTAGTGCTTAGAATAATACTATTCACAATGCCTTCAGTATGTTCATCATATAACAGTAAAAACAGAAGTCATCAAACCAAAAATATATCATTTTTCAAGTTTTCCGCCTGATGTGTGATCTGTTTGTGATTCACTTAATTGCAATAACATTCACTTTAAGGCGTAATGCTAACTACAATAACTCATTCAACAGATTCCATTCTTAAGACAATAAACGATACAGGAAGCAACGTGTTTTTAAAGTTTCTCAATTCGTTCTCCTTACATATTGTGATTTTGAATGATTGGTTTGTGGTTGTGAAACACAGAGTAAGAGGACTTTCATTAAGCGCGCCCCGCGCCCACCCGGCCTCAACCAGCATCAAATGGAATACGAGATTTCTTTGTTTCTCCAGAGGGCGCTGCTTTTACTGCAAAAATCATGGCTTCGCCTTACTGCAAATATGGAGGCGCTTCAACCACTCTACGTAGTTTATTCGAAATCGTCGTTCCCGACATTACTTTCAAAAAACGGCACGGCAGTGGTGGCACCGTGAACGGCAGGTGCGGGAACTAAACTTGGCGCGCGGTTTAGAATCGCGCGAGCCCAGCGCGCCGGCGGAGCTGGGAGCGCACTCCTGAGCAACTTACGCACGCAGGCCGGCAGCTCCTTGGGGCTCCACGTGCCGTCCGCCTGGCAGAAGCGCTCGCCGCGCCCGGTCAGCTCGAAGCCGTCGGCGCAGTGGTAGGTGACGCGGCAGCCGTACGTGTGGCACTCGCCCGCGTGCCACCCGTTGGGGATGTCGTCGGGCAAGCCGCAGGAACGCGCTGCGGCACAGCGGGACGCTCAAGCGCCGCGCCTCGCCCCACCCCGCCCCAGGCCGCGTGACCCTCCGGAAAGCCGTGCATTTCTAAGGGCGGAAGTCCTTCGGAGGGAAAGTCAAACCGGCTGGCCCATCTTGTCGATTTAATGTAGTATGTAAAAGATCCTCAAATGCAAGCATAGCTCAGGATTTAAGAACGAAAGTCCTTCGTGCGCCTGCCTTCGGAGAAGTCAAGGTGGCTGGCCCATGTTGTAGATTTAATGTAATATGTAAAAGATCCTCAAATGCAAGCATAGCTGAGGATTTAAGGACGAAAGTCCTTCGTGCGCCTGCCTTACGAGGGGAAATCAACCCGGCTGGCCCATGCTGTAGATTTAATGTAATATGTAAAATATCCTCAATCCGAGTACAGCTGAAGATTTTTAACCGGTCATGACTAAATGAGAGCGATCCTAGGACCATTCAGCCTTCTTTCGAGATGAGTGCCAGTATTTGATGGCTTTATTAACAATACATATTAATAATATTTGTATTTATAAAGAGAATCCGGTTGAAACATGACGCTTGCCACGCCATTTTCACCTCACTTTCAAAGACAAATTAAGTATATCTAAAAATACCTATTACATTAACTGTACAGTGGGGTATGGAAGTGAGAAGGTTAAATCAAATGATTTCCTAACATCTTTTAACACTCTAAGGAGGTAAACATGTAGTATTCTTAGTACAAGGGTAAAAAAGTATCCTCAAGCCTATGAGCTAAATTTTAAAAAATCGCACGTCACCCGAGTGATATCTTCTTTATTCCCTAGACGATGAAAGGAGCGTAGCGAAATTTGCGTGGTCAGACGGAAGAGCAGGCCTCATGGCCTGAGTATCGCCACGTAAAATAAGGCATCACTGAAATGAACTGAATTGAATTGAACGTCCTTAGCCGAAGTTACGCGCAAAACATTTCTTTCTTCACCCTGAGTCATTTTCCTCTGCAAATCGGACAGAAAGAGTCCGGTACTGAATACGTGAGCGTCAGCCAGATTGCATACACCTGCTCTGTGTGTGGAGGTAATTTGAGGAATTACGATATTGTCTTGCAGCACACTTTCTCCAGATATACCAGCTTGTGTATGTGTTTACGCTAGTAGGGGGAATCCCAGGAATTGTAGCTTGTGCAGAAACAAAAGACTTGGGATATCATATAGCTTATTATAATCAGCAGATATGCGATAATTAGAAATCGGAACTTGTGAATCATAAACAAGTGTTCAGAGACTTTCAAGTGAAACTTAATGAAGTGATATGAAACTAAATTTGCATTGATAACTGGTATGTTTGTCGCGTAAGAGTTCCTAAACTGTCCGGTCCTATGTAGTTACAAGAGAAGTGCGGCTAATGCCTTTCCCCAAGCGGACCAATTCAAAGTAATTACCGCATCTCGTATACAGAGAAGGAAGGAAATTTAGATCAGTTTGAGTTGTATTCAAATTATGATATACAAGTGAATCTTAAAACTCATAATTTTCCTTTTCTCTTTTAAATAGTGAATGATATGAAAATACCATTTTCATGGTCCATGGGTATACTAGATTGAGACTACGCAGTTGTATAGTATTTCATCTCTGTTCTACATTTTAAAACAAGCCTTTAGGATTAGCACTGTTTTTTAATGGAAACATGTTATATTTTGGAATGCCAGAATGGACGAAATAAGTAGATTTCTAATATGTGTATACTTTTGCATTCATGTCCACATTTTCCCTATCTTCACAGTGAAATTTTCAGGAACTGTTTGGGTATGCGTTTGGGTATGATGTAAACACTAATGATGTGAAATAAATTAACTCGTCTCTACGTAGTCTTATCTCCTCTAGTAAAAACTCCTCTTAAGTCGATTCTATCACTCTTACGGGCTGGCAGATCTTTTAATGGACAATATTTTTTGTTCCTAACCTGAACAGATGAAGTTAATGTAATTATTGACCACTTTCGTCAACGCGATTACGAAATCAAAATATTTCGATTTAAAAATTTCTACTTTTATCTCTAAATTCACAATTTCAAATATCAATGATGTATTTAATGTTAATGGCTAATTTTGTTGGTTTAGTAGAGATAATGGGAATTATTACCGCTAAATTTATGCAAAAACTTTTAACTGGCTTTCTAAAAGGCTGTCATGAGTCAGGTTTTCAGTAAAAAACCGTCACCCCACACAAATATGTACAACCCTCAGTTTTAAGTCTCGTGACAACTACTCTGGATGAAACACCTTTAACTATAAATTTCAACTGGAATTCTAATAGGCATGGGCCAGGTATTCTGTAACGTACCCCAGATCTATTTGTACAAGCCTTATTTTTAAGCCTCGCAGCAGATGCCTTGGACGCAGTACCCTCAAACTCTCGTTATCAAGCCCGGTAACGTTGCCTGCATGCGCTATATAAAGAATTGGAATGCTGTCCTTTGCGGTGGCTTTGGGCCTCGCGATCGCTACGTACGCTCGCAGGTGATGTCGGGCCCGAACCAGGAGGCGGCGCCGTCGATGGCCAGGCACTTGGCCTTGGGGAAGCCGCTCGTCACGTAGCCCAGGTAGCACTGGTAGTGCAGCGTGCTGTCCAGGTCAAAGGTCGTCTGCTCGGGCAGCGCGTTGTGGCGGGCGTTGTCGATGTGCGGAGGCGAAGTGCAGTAGACTGCAACAAGAACGGAGGAAGAAAAGGGTTACGGAATGTCCACTCGCTTCACGTACTTGTTTAGGTTTAGAACAGAGATTCCCAACCTTTTTATTTCACCAAACCCCTTTAAGGTAATAGTTTGCTTCATCCACCTTACGTTTTATTTATAATATACACCATCCATAATCAAGACCCAAAGAATTGTACATAAATGCTTTACAATTTCTCACACCAATATTCTCGGAAATATCTCGATTAACAATCATCGATAAGGCTTTCACTTTTGAGTAGCTAAAATGTTGTGCAGTAGCTAAAAGGTTTCAAAATGTTGAATGTTTTTTACGAACTGGACACGCATTTGTATATTGCAGTGTTGTAAATGCATAGTTATAATTTCTTGAGTTTTCTGAACATCCTAACTCCTACTTATAAACGACGGATACTAAAGAAGTGGAGCGAATTTGTAGTTATTATAATTGTTTGTTTTATATTGGAAAATAATTACTTATGTTCATTCTATCTTTGTAATCAATAGTATATTGATTATACTGATAAGGTGCCGGTTCATGTTTATCTATTGATTCCTAATCTATCTATTCATCATCACTGAACCCTTCAAAATTTCATCGACCCCCAGGAGAGTTTATACTGACCCCCTTCAGCGACGCCTAGTTCAGAAAGATACTAGGCAAGAGGGTGTTACACGCGGCTTAGGGCCGGGTGTGTGTGTAAATACAAAGTAGATTGCGTATAGATTTTGTGCTTTGAAATTCGTTAGGGTCAGTGTCGAAGCGTAGTGGGGGCGGCAGAGCAGTGCCGCGGGCGGCACGTTTAGGGGGCAGCAAAATGTCACAAGAAATAATAATGCCCATTAAACATTTGAACAAATTCATTTTATGTTTTTGTCGCCCCTACGGTGCATATCGATTGAAGTGTGGACGGAATCTTTTATTACTTATTCTGCGACGACTTCTTTAAATGGACTTGTAATCACAGCTTGCTCATTGTAGCTATTTGCAACACCGTCTGAACTGACTTGTGGGGATTCCCAGTATATTATTTTGTTCTCGAATTTTTTACGACTAATAGGCATATTTAACAAGAATGTATTTTATCATATAAAGGATAATGACTTCTATTGACTCATTTTTGATACAAAAAACCGGAGATGCCAATTTGTCTTGTGAAAAGACATTAAGACGGAAGCTCTTTTCTTTGTTAGAATATTTGTAGAAATTCGTGAACGCTTTCAGCAGCTAAAGAGTTTAGTGGATAAGTTTGCTTATTTATCGCTAGTTACACTACTAGATTCGATCGATACTAATTGTAATTTAGATTATGCATTTGCGTAAATTGACAAGCAGGACTTAAAGCTGGAACGACTTCGACTATGGGCTTCTATTGATGTCACAGTCAAAGAAAATACCCACCATCAATACCTTTCATTAACACCTTTTTTTATTAAAATAAAAAGTGGGTCTTTTATTTCTTACAGTTGCCCAATGTCATTTTTGGAAATGTCAGTTTTAATGTAAAACACATTTCTTTCAATCTGAATGTACATCACCTTTTAATATGACGATCTTTATATTTATACGAATCAAGATTGATAACAATGTTGCTCTAGTACTTGAAAAAGACAAAACAATATCGTCACAGAGTTATAGGTATTAGAACAAGTGAAAATAAAATAAAATTTGAGAAATAACTGTCTTTAAATCTAATGAGATCATTTTAATAATAAACAAAGTACCCACCACTTGAATGATTAAAATTTACCCTGAAATCCAAGCTGGAAGATACTCAATCCAATTTTTTAATAATGCTTCGAATATTCCTCACAATTGCCACAAGCAATGCCATATGAGATAGGAGTTTTTCAAAATTGAAATTGATAAAATTATTGAAGATCAACAATGAGTACTTTAAGGAAGATTAACAATCAGTACCAACTGGCTTTCTTGTCTATTGAACAAGGGGTATGCGACGCTACAGATATTGATAGTGCAATAAAATACTTTGCTCTTAAGAAAGGAGACGAATAAAGTTTTTATTAAAGATAGAAATTTTTGTAAATTTTAACAATTATCATATTTCTCAATAAAAATATAAATTTTAATAATGTCGTTCTAGTTCTAATTGGAAGTCGATTTGTGTTTTATATTAAATTCAATAACTTAATCTTGCCAATCGTCAAGGTATAATCACAGTTTAGTATAATTAAATCACAGTTTATAGTAAACTAATGTATAATCATAAGTGTTCTTTACCTGTTATCAATGTAAGTGGCACACGTGTAAGAAATTTTGTAATAAATGTGATTAATATATTGCAAAAGATATACATGATGTTCTGACTTGTGATCTGTAGAATACATAATACTGATGAATGTTCTTGCTGAAAAGTTCTTTAGAATGACTATATATTTTAGTCTTTTAAACTGAAACACCTAAATAAGGGGCGGCGAAATTTTCCTCCGCTCGGGGCGGCTGTCACCCACGCTACGCAACTGGTTAGGGCAGGCATTTGAAACTGCGTCCGCACGAGCTCCTTACTCGCCCGGGAAGCCCGACACTCCTACGCGCGTTACCAACGTCTCCTGACTTCGCTCTCGTTTTCCTTCCAAATCATGAGGCAACTACACGGCTCAACAGGCTGTTGCGCACCCTATTAGGTTTCAGCCAATGAGCTTCATGTTTAGTTTGAGTCTTACATTTGCCGGAATATCGAGCGAAGTGGTTCAGTGCGTAGCGCGCTGACTTCGCAATCGGGAGGTCCGGGTTCGATTTCCGGGCCAGCAATCCTTACCCGGGTTTTACGTGGCTTCCTTCGGGCATAAGGCAAATGCGGGGATAGTTCCAAAAGTTCACGATCACCTTTCACCAATATCCTATCACCTCCTAATATATAATAATAATAATAATAATAATAATAATAATAAATTTACAGTGGGTGTTCAGCTGTCCCCTGGGTAACGCGAAATGGGCAACAGTAATTCGCCATCTACGCGCTTGACCATTGTGGGTGTGCGAGTCACTACGAGCTGAGGGGAGAGCTTGCGCGTCTATACTGGTGTGCGCATCACCAAATGGCTTACATGCCAAAGGTGGGCGTTGGCTAAAAACAAACAAACAACAACACACATTTGCCGGAATTCCAAATGCAGCCAGATACCAAATTTCAATCATCACCTTGTTATAAACATGTGATACTCTTTGAAACGTATATATGAAGAATTTGTAGTATTGCATTTTTTATTTTAAATACATATTTGTGTTTTTTGTGGTCACCGTTGAAAAGTGTAACTTTTCGAAATTTTCAAAGGTTTTTCAACACTTCTCGCTTGCCATGTAGCATGGCGGGCAGCCTCGAGCTTGGCTTTTCAAACGAAGTATCATTGTTGTGTCACACGGTTCGTGATGAATCCGGTGCTGCCCAGATGGAGCAAAAATCGGCGCGGCGGAGCAATTCACAAAGGCCCATCAAGCTCTCAATACAGGCGGGACTGTTCTATGATGCAAGAAAATTGGTATGTGTGTTCCCACAGTGGGAGATTATATTTTATCAGGCCTCATATAAGTCTGATATAATAGTTACTTAACAATTTAACTTCGACTCAATTCAACTTGATTGGGTAACAGAAAATAAGGGATCAAAAATAAATCTAAAGCAAAGGCAAATTTATGAACAGGTCTGGAAAGGGTTTATATCGCCACTTGTCGTATTTTTTGTAATGTACCAAGTGATACAGGCAAAGTATTCCTCATTAATTTAATTTTGTCGAAAATCAGAAATGAAATGGAGATACGCATTATCGTATCGCATAGTCAGTAAGGTAGTAAAATCACGTCTTCAATGTTTAAAGTACCAAGAACAACTGACTGTATCCACAAAACGTATCGTGCAGTATTTATAAAACCAGTAAAAGAGCTAATCTAAGCATATGTTTTCAAAGATTGGACAAATAAATGGACCACAATGTTTCTAATGGAGCTATTAATCAGACTGTACGAGCATTGATAATAGACAGTTCGGTGAGAATACAGGTTTATTTTCGGGAGATATTAGAAAGATATTACCTGTTGTTAATATAGGGACGCGTTGTTGAATTTAGTTTGAAACATGCATAAAAATATAAGTGATTTGGAGTTATGTCGAAGAGTTACATCTCACAGAAAAAATAAAAGCCGAAAGTATAGAATTAGCAACAGCTTGTTTGCATGTGGGAGAGGAGAAAAAATAATACAATTATATTATAATAATTCTTTTGCCGACAACTCTTCACGATGTTGTCAAAGAGCAATACTTGTTTTACAGAGTTATACACCCGGACACCCGAATATGTTAAAACAAGATACGATTCTTGGTTGTGCAAGAGTTCAAGTACAGAAAAAATCATATAAATAATTACATTAATGCGAAAATCCTTCATAAAGTCACAGAGACATAATAACAGTTACAAGTCATAATAAATAATGGTTACATGTTGATACAATGTGTAGACGAGACATTTCAGTTTACCGTTTGCCAGGGCAAACATTCTTTTAAAGTAGGCGTAGATTTATGTAAAAGGTGTTTTAGTAATACGTTCATGTTCTGGAGTGAGTGATTCCCCCAAAACTATTGGTTCTTGCTTTTGAACGTAAAATAATCAAAGCATATCAAACCATAATCAAACCAAAAACATAGTGTAAAAAGATTTGCTGCAGATTTCATTGTAATATTAATGTAAAACATTATAAATAATTACATTAATACATTGTAATGTATTAATGTAAAAATGTCTTTTATGAGAGGTACAATCTTAATAAATTTTGAGAGGCTGTGGAGTACGAGTTGAAATAGTTCCTAAACAACAAAAATTCTTAACGAATACGACGTGGTCTCCAAACGACCTTTTTTTCTTCTTGTGACACACCCAAGACTATATTTTGTACAAAAATTGAAATAGAATTTCAGCATTAACATTACGTTCGTGAAATATATGTTACAAAATTGATAAGCCATTTTAATCATACGCGATACTTGATAATTATGATAGTATTAACAACAGAAATCTTATAGAAAACTGGTCAGACTGCAATAATGTAATTATAATAATGATTTAATAAACAAGTGTTAAAATATGTCTTTGAAGGAAATAAACAATTGTAAAAAATGAAACTGGAAGTATCAAAATATTTATAGTTTATTTAATCAACGTTTGAATACAGTTGCTATATTTGAATATTTATTTAGTGAATGTTTGAAAATAATTGTTATATTTTTATAAACGGCAGATCACGTTTTACAGGAAGGAAATTTCGTGTAACTGACATCACTAATTAATGATGATACCATATCAGTCAGGAGCAAATATCACCCATTTAATTTCGTAATATAAACTTTCCCACTGCATTTTCTTTGGTAAAAAGTGTTCATCACCGATCTTATTCCTGCTCTAGAAGTTTTTTATTTATTCTTTAACACCTGTATATCAGACAATATACAACAATACAATATAAATGATCATATCAGCTTCTAAGAATATTGATATTTTTTGCAATGGAGTAACATTATTTAATATTAATATTTCGATTTTATTAATATAGAATGTAGATACACCGTGCGTCAACGGGTATGTGACACACATACGACCAGGAAATATGAAATGAATAGGTCGACCTAAATTTCAAATCATTTGAATAATTCCGAAGAGCCTTGTTGACGAGTTCGGAAGACATAGAAGAACGAGACATAGAAGAAGACATAGACAGAAGAAGACATAGACACAGAAGACGAGACAAGAAGAAGACATAGACATAGAAGAACGTGGATAGACGCATCTATTTTTATCTGGACGATTTGAGAATGAATCCTTTTGACTTTGCAATGGAGTTTGAGGCCTTCCCCGAAAATCCGACACTCTGCCTTCCAATGCTGGAGTGGCCAAACTGCGTGATTTTAAACTAGTAAACTTCACGTTTTAATGATGCACCTGTAAATATTTTATTACTTCATTCTGTTCGATGAGAAGAGCTTTCTCCGAAGCTCTCCAATCCTTCTGGAAATCACGACCTCTCAGCGTGACTGGGGAAGACGGTAAGCCTTGAGTTATTCGAGAAACTTCTGCCTCCGGGAAATTCGTCCCGTTTTTGCTGCTTCCAAGCCGTCTTCCTGCCAGATGGATTAACGTTTCCTTTATGAGACATTAACTCTATTTCGTCAGAAAGAGTTTGCTCTGTCTAGACTGCGCAGGCAAGACGCTTTTTCTCGAGCCTTCGTAACAAACGAGGAATGACAAAAGGTCGAGGAAACGAGAACGTCATGGCGTATCGGGTTAAGAGAGCGGCACAGACATCTAGTTGTGAGTTCTGGATTTTATATTTACTAAGAATTTTAGATGCCGGGTGATAAATGGAATTTATCACTAAGTTGCTTGTGGCGTGACTTTAACTGAATCAGTAATTAATTTGTTAAAAGTCGGCCTCTGTATGAGAATCTCAATTTTTGTATTTCTTCCATCAACAAATGATCTCTATTCAATAACATACAATTATACTATATTATATTTATATCACTTTATATCACAGCCCTTTATATCACTGAATACTAGTTTTTATGATTAACATATTCGAATGACCATTTGGTAAGATTTTATTATAATGGACAATTGGCCTAAAGGGTTTTTATTTCTGACTTTTGATCTAACTAACTTTGCATTGATTGAATTTATCGAGAATGTTGTATTGAAAAGTTGTATTTATCAAGAACAGTTCTTTGCACAATTATAATGAGAAAGAGCAGAACCGCAAGTGTATAAAACTGATAAAAAATGGACTTTATGTGAAATTTGTTTTGTCATTATTTAGTAAATTACGGATGCAATTTTCCCGTTTGTAGACAAAAATTTTAGATAAAATTTGCCAATTTTAGATACAAACTAACTAAATTGTTCTAACTAATAAATTTAATAGAAACTAATAAATTTGGATGGAGAGTTCAAAGGCGCTAGGAATCGCCTTTAGAACAATGGGAGCTGCGCCTTCCCTGCCCTGCCCTGCCCTGCCCTGCCCTGCCCTGCCTTGCCCTGCTTGATAAACAGCGAGCAAGACCGTTCCCCCAGATAAGCCCTGTTTGCTTTTGGGAGACGGGGGTAACTGGCCTCGGTCGGAGAAAAACAAAAGAGGAAATCTACTATCATCAGTCAGTCATTGAGATTTCTGTTTTTAGAGGTTTAGTCCAGATTTATTTTGAACAGTCAATTTCAATTAAACATACTGAAATCAAAAACACATTAATCAGATACCATAATTTAGATTGACGAGTTTTATTAAAATATTCTCTTAATTTTGAAGCGTTTTACATCTCAAGATTTTAAATCTCCTCTTCTTCAGGAGTCTAAATTTAAGATAAACCAATTTTTTATAAAACTATGTGGAGAAATGGCCTGAACGTTTTTTAAATAGAGTAGAAATAGATTACTAACAATGACAGTATTTATTAAAGGAGAGTTCAATTTTACCTGGTACATATTAATAATAATTTCAATTTTTTTAAATGTAACTTTGACTACAATCTAACGTAAGAAAAGTGAGCCATAAAATCCGATGAAGAATGTAACTATCATCCATTTCCAACAAATATTACAGTTAAACTCTTGTCTGAATGATACAAATGACACACTGCCTTATTATAATCCTTCTAAAAGTGTCTGCCATCAAAGAGTTTTGGACATTTTGGCACACACCGCCGGTGAAAAAGTGACTCATCGTAAAAGTCGTACATTTTTGAGCTATGTGTACAAGTACGTTCAGGAAATAGTACATTTTATTAGTAAATATTGCACATAGTTCACAAGATGTCCGCTACAATGAGTAAATCAGTAGCAAAATTAACGTTTCAGATCAATTTAAAAAAGTTCTCAAGCATCATTTTTGGATGTGTCACTATTCTGTACACCAACGATAATAGGTATGTCGAACTGATTCGATTTTGTGAGTAAATAAGGAATCATGATTAATAAAAGATACAATACAATTTCACATCTTTAATTTTTCATGGACAAACACAAAACACTTTATCCAATTATATCAGCAAAGGAAAACACACAAATGAAATTCGTTATTTATTACTATTATTTTTAATTAAAAACGTTTTAATATTTGAAACTTTCGAAGTTATGAAATTGAATATTCTGCTCACAAATTGACTCTCCACCAAGATATCCGTACAAGGAGTTCAATCTTGCCAGTAGGTAACTGGTTGAATCATAGAACTGATTTATTCACATTTCTTAGAGTTTTTCGGAGTTTTACGCTTTTTAATTTTTTTTTCGGGAGGCACTGCAAGGCACGGACATACTGCTTGTACTACATCCAGACCTTTGCACAGACACCAGTCCGCGACGAAAATTGGAGTGCTGCAGATGTGCGAGACTGGAACAACTATCGCAGTGGCTGGTAAGGTGGCCATTGCCAGGCAAAATTCCATTAGAGCAATCGGCATGGACATGAGACCCCCGACCCTCGCTTGCTGATACTGGTTGAGGATGCACATTATCGCCGGAAACTCTGTCAAGCGGTGGAACAACATGAGCCTATATGGATCAGAATCTTCGTCGGCGGTGGGATCCTGCTCTTCCACTGCTCTCGTCTTCTTCTTGGTCTCTTCCTTCTTGGTGGTCTTTACTTCTTTGATGTCCTCCTTCTTTGCATTCTTTTCTTCTTTGGTGTCTTCCTTCTTTGCATTCTTTTCTTCTTTGGTGTCTTCCTTCTTTGTATTCTTTTCTTCTTTCTTGTCTTCCTTCGTCTCTTCCTTTTTTGTGTTCTTTACTTCTTTGGTCTTTTCCTTCTTTGTGTTCTTTACTTTCTTGGCCTCTTCCTTCTTTGTATTCTTTTCTTTCTTGTTCTTTTCCTTTTCGATTTTCGTTTTCTTTGCCTCGTCTCCTCTAGCAGACGAGTGTTTCTGTTTCTTCGCATTCGAATCTCTAACTTCAGCATCTACTTCTGTATCCTTTCTCTGACCTTTGGACATTTCTTCGGCATCGGAAAATTTGTCAGAATCGGATGTGAATTCAGTTTCATTATTATCTGCGGAGTTCCGGGCTTCCTTCTCAGCACCCGAACTCTCTGTCGGTAATGTGGTTATGTCATCAACAGAATCATGAAAATGATTAGAATGATGATGATGATGTTGTTTGGAAGAAGATTCTTTCCCATTCTAAAAAAACAGAAAATGCAACATTTTACAAAAAATGCAACTTTTTCCGGAAAACATACTAAAAAGATTCCACCAAACGTGAACTTACCTGACTCATGGCGAGACAATGAACTGCAAGGTTCTATTGGCAATAAATCACTAATCATTCAAGTTCTGGAAGGCAGATTTTATAGGCGACGGACCAGACCTAAACTTTGACTGTGTACTCACTCTGTAAGATAGACAGAGACCAATCAGAGCGCGTGTTTCGAAGCTCCGTTCTATGTTTGATAAACGAAGAACGATAAGTAAGAAAATATGAAGAAAAACAATTTCATACAATATTGTTTAAAATCTAATGGAAACGCAATTTGAAGTTTTTTGAGGAAACATGTGAGAAGGGAATAGGAATTTACTACCAATATTGTGTATAAAATGAACTAGGTAATTTTAAATGATATATTATATATTTAATTTCCATTACTCAAAATTATGACTTAAACATTTTTTTTAATTTCATGATAAAACGATTATTTCAGCAGCTGTTATTAAACAGACTACGTTATTTTTATTATTATAATGACTTATTATAAATATGACGCACGTGTTATCATCAATGTTGTGTAATTTGAAATTTTAATTAGATGTCGTAAACAACATTATTCATAATTTTTCCACAATCGATTAGAATTGAAATATTTCTTTTGAAAAAGATAATGTCGAGGTATGCCTATTTATTTATTTTTATTATTTTTCAAACTTTATAGTTTGACACAAAATTTAGAGTTTATCTTCCATAAATGGAAAATTTGACTTCTTTCCATAAGTTTAAACATGTCGCCATGCTCGGAAGAATTCCCTATCTCTTGTTCGTGACGGTTAGCAGAGATGGAAAGTAAGTCGAGTGGAAATACAACTGCCAATGGCTTATCGCTTTAAGTAAAAGGGGGTCCAATGAAAATGAGTCATTACGAGGCAATACCGTTATAAATGGGCCAGAGGAAACAGCGTATCACAGTTCCACGTAATAACTTTGCGGCTTCTGACTTTTGTAAGTATGCAAGTTCATTCATGGATGTATTCATGCGTTTAGGTTAAAATGATACGTTGTTATATCACTAATGCTAATGCTTTGCTTCTATCTTTAGGGCTGTAATTTCTTTGTCCACTTTAATTCCATAGAATTCTAAAGTACATTAAAGATCTTAGAGTTGATATCTGACTTAAGTTTTCTTCCTGGAGAATTTACACGACGTATAATGCGCGGAAGGGGGTGAACATTTGTTTGTACAAGTGAAGGTATGAAAAATTGTGTAGATATCAATCACTAATAATAAATTAATGCAAAAAAATCAATTTCAATGTAACTAATAATAAAATTAAAATATTTTTACCACAAAACTAACAATATTTGATTTTTTGTTTTATAAACAAGATTGAACGAATGTATATACAAAGCTTTTTAACGCCTTTTCCATGTACAGTATCAATTACAAATTAATGTTTTCAGTAAGCTTTTGAACGTACATGCGAGCTATGGTCATATAATAATATAATTACGTGTTGGATGTGAACTAAAATTATGTTTTCTTAGAAAGCGCCAATAGTAATTGCAACGAAAATGTAACTTAAATTGGAATAGAGAAATTTAATATCATCAGTATTTTCTGAAAATTCCATGTTAAGTTTTTCAATGACGTTATCTCTGAAATAGTGAAATGGCCCGGAGATCATACTTACAATCCGAAGTCTTCGGGCCAAACCCGAAGAGGTGGCAGCTCTAAATTTCTAAATATCTTGCTAACATCTCGAAAGAACATGCTATTGAGAATAGTAGCCCTGGTTGCGACGGAGAGATTGATTTCCAGCATAGTTGTGAATTGTGGTTCTAATAGCAAATCGTCGGCATTATGTGAAACTAACCGATGTGAAAATGCTTTTTATTTACAGACAAAAATATTCTCGAAGTTAATAAAAAATGGCCTCTATCAATTATTTTTTCATAATTGGCAATAAAATATTCGATTCTTTTATTTGTGATTAAATTGGTTAACAAACGTCTATTTAATTTATAATATTTCTTACTGTACAATTTACACAAATTTCATTTAAAGTATGGGTAGTTTTGTCGCTAACTAACGTTAAAATTAAAGAATTCAGTCGACTGTAGAAACAATATTTGGTACATTAGGTAATGACCAAAATTAGTTTCTACTATCAAATATTCAGCAATATTCAATTTAGAATTACGCGTGTAAAGCACTTAACGTTCATAAAATTGCAATTGCAACAATGAGACAATATATTTTCCATTCAAATGTAAACTACGGACACAAGAGATGTTAGGACGTAGCAACGTATGATTCGTAACTCTTGATGTGAGATAATAATTATTTTAAAATTGTATTCTACGGTTGACGTTTCAGCTATCGTGTGTAAACCTTTAATCATCCAACCGCTTGGAGACCAGCAAAACTGAATTATTACGTTTTAAATCCTACTTTATAAATACAATTTCCTGTTTTGTTCAGTCAAGCAGACTTTCGGTCATTATATTGTGGCATTCTTCGGAGCTATACAAAACTCTGAAGAAGACCACTACATGATGGCCTTCAGCTCGATCGGCTGAGACGCGACTCATCCCGGGCATCCAAGAGTCGATTTAGGCGGTAGACTTGTTCGCGGACGAAAAGACAGCCAGAAGCACAAAAAACATTTTAAGGTATCAGCTACCACCAAACTTCAGCCACAAAGTCGACATTTTTATACAGTCGTGAATAAAACTCCCAATAGCGGCGGCAATGGTGTAAAGGTTAGCGTATCGGGCTATTAAACCAAAGTTCGCGGGCTCGAAGCCGTGGATTTTTAGGCCGAAAAAATCCTTCGTACGCTTTCTTTCGGAGGGGAAGTAAAGCCGGCAGTCCCATGTTAGTCCATTTACTGCATGTAAAAGATTCTGAAGCCTCTGAGCTAAATTTAAATCGCCTGTTTCGTCGCCCGAGTAACACCTTCATTCTAGCTAGTGGGTGAAAGGAGCGTACCGAAATTTGAGGGGCCAGATGGAACGGCGGGCCTGGTGGCCCGAGTCTCGTCTCGTAAAATAAGGCATCAATTCAATTCAATACTTTTGTAGCTACCTATTCGAACCCTTCTGTTATAAATTTGTATCAAATCACTTTCATCTTCATAAACAGGTACGGCGGACGAGACGCAGACTCGCAGAAACCGTAAATCACGAAATGGACATGCAGCTTGCTGGCAGTCGTGATGTGACAGCGGCTCCTCGAATACGCCAAGAGGGGGAGGAGGAGAGGGAGAAGGAAGAAGACCGGCGAGGCGAGAGGGCCAAAGCGAAGAGGAGGCGCGCGACCAGCAGGGCGCTGCGCGCCGTGGCCCGCGAGGAGTTCGGGCCCTCCGGGTGGATGGTGGTGAACCGCCTGTCGCGCCTGCCCGTCGTCCGCTGCGGCGCGCGCGCCTACCGCCGGGCGAAGGCCAGCCCCGTGCTCGGAGGGCCGCTGGCCGCCGCGGAAGCCTGCCTCGGAGAGGCCGCGTCGCGGGTGGCTGACGCCGCCGCGCCTTTCCTCGTCGGACAAGGCGTCTCGGCATTCGTGACGGACCGGTTTCTGTGCAAAGTCTTAGAACTGGCGGTGTCGGTGTGTCCGTGCATCGCTTCACCTCCCAGTCAGGTTGGTATATTGATAATCTATCTGTATTTATAAGATGAGGGAACGCTTTGACAGCTAATACTTGGCAACTGCTGACAAATTACTACTGGTTATGTTCATGCACTCAATTCGACAATGTGCTCGTTTAGTTTACTCGTTAGTAAATGGTTTTCATCAGTCTCATGCAATGCGCTCCACATGGCATTCAGTAGTTTCCCGTCGTGTCAAACAGCTCGCTTTTACGAGTAACTCAGCTATATTTAATGAACTAATAAACTTCATTCTTAAGGTTTTCTATAGCTTCAGGTTTTTATAATAAGGTGATTCGCACGGAATAACATTCATTTGGTAGCTATGATTCAACTTGGAAATTATAGAAGTAGAATTTGGCATATATAGAAATTGGTTTTTCACGCAGATTATGATATTAGTTTTCGAAAATGGTATAACCATCAGTAATTCTACGTACCGCGACCGAATTCGGGTAAGGGAGAGTACGGCCGTCAACAACTGAAAATTTTGAACACTCACTAAATTGGAGGCTCGGACCCTCTGCTCCCGAAACATTATCGCGAATGCGGAAGTGCCATGCCGGAAGAACAACATCCAATGAAGTTTATTAATTCGGCCAGAATCAACTGTTCATTGGCATACCTGTTTCTTTAGTTGAGGACGAGGAAACCCCATGGAACAGCACAAATCTCTCGTCAAACGTGACTCTCGTATTTGTTTTAATCCTTACGTGTGTGTCTCCTAAACGTTTGAAGAACGTATAAAGTAATTTGCATTAATGTAATACACGTACTGTTCTACAGGATATGTCTGCCACTCGCAGAAGAACTTTCCTTCGGCCGAACAGTGGTCCCCTCTGACCGTCTCCTGGCTTACGTGAAATAAGCACGTTTTCTTATTCATGTATATAAACTCTCATTTAGGAAACTGCGAACCATCCACATAACGAATGAAGACCCACCCATTGAAATATTCCAGTAGGCTTTCATATAAGTAGAAGGGACACACGGGTTTTAGTATTGCTGTTGACTCATTCAATTGATGGCTCGTTACTACATAACTATATTCCCCGAACAATGCAGAACCAAGTTATATCCGATCTTATTTCGGTTCACAGATATTAAAGTTACAATGCTTGATATTGTCCAAAGGATAAAATTTAAAATGTCACGAAAAATAACGTACGTAGACATATCAATCTTGTATTTTACGCATTTTTAGGATACTAAAATACTAATACAAATTTGATACATTCACTGTTATTTATTTCAATCGTTTATTTCAATCGCTTTCATTAAATATTCATTCATGGCTCGTTGTGAACTAAAATACTAAGATTTATCATAGTTCATATTTAGGGGACATCAAATCACAAATTGCGACTGTCTTTACAACACCATTAAAATGATTTTTTTTTGCTTCAAAAATCTGCATTTTTTGCAAATAATTGTATACTAAGACATTCAACTGTTTGACCACAGACAGTCACTCGTTCAGGAAGCTTTTCCACAGAACTCAAAGGTAAAGTAATAATTACAAAATGTTTTGAAATTTTAAATTAATTTTAAAAGTGTGCCACACGCCCTCAGTCTCCAGGGCAATATCATCAAGATAAAGGTTATCAAAAATCGTCGCATAGCGATAGTGAAGTCGAGTAGTTCACCTTCCGGCCTTGTTCTTAGTCTGGCTTAAATGACAACGTGCATTAATGACAATATTAACATATCTTAAAACGTGAATTTGCAGTGCAAAACAGACTTTTGCACAACTTCACTGCCCTCCTTCATAATTCAGACGTATTATGAAAGCAACGGCGACCCTCGACACGTTTTAGTGTTCAAAAAGTTGAAAAGTATGATTGTCACGGTTTAAATATTAAATTTAAGGCTTCATTAAGTTCAAGGGTTTAGGACAGCAGCACAATTAGCCACACCGGTCACAGAAAGGCTCCCAATGTTATTATAGCGATTTTTAATGAAACTATGGCTTATCTAGTTACTATTCGCGTCATGTGTTCTTTGTGACTTATCTATGAAGAGTTTGGGGCAGTTACACGATGAGAAACAATTCGCCCAAAATAGAGATATTAACATTCACGGATAGCGGAGGTTTGATGTAACCCGTGTGGATTATCTTGTTTCTTTCTCAAGTCCTTCAATTGGACTGTACACTTCCGGATACAATTATTAATTTTTATTACTTTTTGAACAATTTTATTTCAATGGAGTCCAGTTGTAATGATATAATATATAGGGAAAATTAGGCTAAATATTTATAATAATTTCATTTTCATTTCGTTTTCAGATCTGTGGTGAAATTTCCACATGTTTTTCTACCTCTACGCATCGTTGCCCTCGTACCGCGGGCAACAAAATCCGGAGAATGAACTCTCGACAGACGAATGGTTGAGTTTTGCTGATGAATTTTTAATCATGAATGGCTGAAAACATTTATTTATATTTCTTTTGGAACGTATTTCTCCGACATATGTGAAATAATCAAAATTAATAAGAAATATTTTGTACTCTTAGAATAAACAATTAAAATATACATTTCTTACTGAAAATGTGTACAGTATTCTATTACATTAGTTTCATTACTCAAATTTCGGTTTCAAATATTTCTGTTTCCTTAATAATTGTCTATCCTAAAAACGTAATTTCTACCAAAATAATAGGAATGAAATATGAAATGAATGTAAATGGTAAAAAAAATGTTTAGCTAATTATGCCCAAATTAAACTGTAATGTGTAAGACTAGTAACCTCGTGTAGCAAGGAAAGAAAGCAGCATTTGAACACCTTATTATATCAGCGTTAATGCCTGGTACTCACATTGTGATCACCCGATACCAAATGGAAAATATTCGTAAATTTTTCTGAAGAAAAATTATTACGTAAAAAGCATCAATTTTTAACGTCTACACACTAATAGTGCTAAACAGCGTATACTTTCTCATTATTTTTAACTTTTTCAATTTTCAAAAAAACTTGATTTCATTATTGTAGTTTGACAATGTTAATTTTTAGCATTTTTCGTTAATTTAGCAAATATATGGCCTGCGCCATAGCGTACTTTACTCGCTTAAGGAAAAAAGGAATTAAAGAAACAAGAGGGAATTTTCGGGGAAATGTTTGAAAATTACTCAATTTTCGAAAAAATATACATTGACTAATTTAAAAGAAATGTCTATAAAGAATAGATTTTACTAACGGCAAAAATCTCTAATTTCAATATTATAGTTGAAGCAAGATACAGAAAAGTGCAACATTTTGTAATTTTCCAACATTAAAAGAGTTTAAAAAAGTGTCGCCATTTTTAAAAACCTTCATTATAATTAATAAAAAAATGGGGTCCTTGGTCAAACTGCTTAGCGATGATCGTCACGAAATGCAACTGCAAGATAAAAGTCTAAGGCAATACAGAGCTTAATACAGTCAAGGCAGTTTCATAAATGTGAAAAGCAACTTCATAGCAGCCGACCTCGATGGCCAAGGTAGATAAGAGCGTGCAGCCTCGGTCCGAACGGTTGATGGTTCGAGTCCCGCTATGGGTATAGTTCTTTGTCCCTTGGCTCTCCTAGATGTGCTGTCGCGGAGGGCCTCGCTGATTCCAGATCAGGGGAGCCCGCAAGTGTGTTGGTGTCTAGAGAACTGTCAAATATGCGTCCCATCGGGACGCATAGGGTAACCGGCAGGCGGCTGGATAAAATTCCTAGAGAAAACAAACTTAAAAGCGCAGATATTCATCTGATTAAAGACTACAAAAGACGTGCAGTTCACAGAAATCAGTTTAAAAATTTTCTAGACAATTTCAAGAGTAATGTTAAAGTGCGTGTGAAAGTAAGAACTCAATAAAAAATGTAAAGTGTCTATGAATGTATAACTTTACTATTTACGTGTGTGTGAGTGTGAAAATTTCATTTTCAATTAACTCCGTTTTAAACCACTTGACGCCATGTTTCATAAAATAGTAAATTATCTTATCATTTGAAGAAGTGGATGACCTTGCTCTAACCTAAAGCTGCCCTGATGCCACAAGGTTAAGAGCTCCTTTATGTGAGGTACGCAAAGCTCTATAAACGGGTATGTCTCTGACATTTAGCCGTTGCTTTAATTTCAGCGGCCTTGCGCCCAGTAACTGAAGTTTAGGTACACGACACTCCGATGTGATCTTGCTCTTCTTCTTCTTCTTCTTCTCCTCCATTTCAGGGATTAGGCGGAAGTGCCTGTTCCGTCTTCGCTCTGCACATCAGGACCATCTCTTTCTGGGTCGGCCGATATCTCTTCTTCCCTTCGGTTGGTAGTTCATCACTAATTGTGGAATACGATCTTCCTCCATTCTTTCGATATGGCGCCGCCATTCTTTCCTGTTTTCTACGATCCTTTCATTTATGTTGTATATATCTAGTTCTTTACGGATGTCCTCATTTCTTATCTGGTCTTGTTTGATGCAGCCTTTAACTTTCCTAAGAAATCTCATTTCTGCTGCTTGGAGCTTACTTTGGTCTCTTTTTTTCATTGTGATATCCGATGTGATATCCCTCCAAAATATACATACAAACATACATATTGTATACTTATTCGTGCGTATACACACAGACACATCCATGCATATACACCCATTCGGTTATACCTACACATGCACGCACGTACGTACATATAAACACAAAAATACTCGTTACATTAATTCATAAGCATAACAAACGAGGGTAAACTTTACACCTAACATCGCTACAGATCATTGTACTCTGGTCATTAACAGTTGAACATAATTACACATATAAAACTCAAAACTCATTAGTGTCTGAAATACCAACCCTTGTGCAACAAAATAGCACAGACTTTCTCGTACGAGTTGGTCCTCCATTTTTTTGAGTCGGTGATATTCATCCAGTTTCCCCCCTCTTTCTACACTACCATCTATCGGCAACTATGCGACCTGACAGGGACTCCTTTGGAGACAAATCCCCCAGAACAGCGCTCTCACGTCCAGGTAGCTCTTACGACCATCTCGGTACGCGCTATCACATACTAAACGCAGGTGGTAAATCGTGGCCCCAACCCCGAGCTGGTGCTATGGTTCTGGATGAACAGTGCCAGTTACTCACGCACGCAGATCTCACATGCATTTACCGGTCACAGAAAGGGCTTATGGATTGATTGATTGTTTATATGGTGTTTCAGGGCGACATTTATCCCGAAAATGTAGGGCATGCTTTTCTCAGGAGGTGCAGGTGATCTTCCCCCGCTGGATGGTGCGATCTGGCATCCGCGGCTATGGTCTCCCGGCGTGTGTGGAAGTGAAGTGAATTTAAGTGTGTGTGTGTGTGTGTGTAAGTTAGGGGTAGGATAGGACAAGAAAGAGGAAAGAAATATCCGTGCCCTCCGTCCATTTCGTGACCCGTTGCTAGGGAACTGCTCCGGCATTTACTGGTGTTGAGAGAAAGAGGAGAAAAATCGCGTGCAGTTCATGGTCAAATTATTTGAATTTTGTTTTGGCATTCGCTTGGTGTTGATTTGAAACAACTACCGATCAAAGCAGCCATCCGCTAGAAGTCTACACCAGAAAGCGACTGAATTCGACCTAATGTCGAAAATCCTGCTACCGTTGGAGTAGAAACCAGGACCTTCTCGTCAGAGGCACTGTATTGAGCCACCTTAGCCGGTAAGTGTTGTGTGTTCCTTATTCATGTGATACAGGAGGGAGTGGGAATGCCCCTTTAGCCACATACAAATCCACCACACAAAGCTCCGAACTCACCGCCTTAGGATGACCACCTGCCCCAAAGCTCTGCCCGCTAAGCTGACTCACTTAACTACACTATTCGTACATTACAAGAATAAAAGTGTTAATTAAAATGACGCACATCTTACGAAATACAGTGATTCATTTCACTTTATATATTTAAAATGTTTAAAGAAAAAATATGAAGCTGTCTTTTAAGAAAATCTTTTTTATGTATTTATTTTCTCCAAATTAACTCAACATTTTGCGAAAGTTACATTTCTTTTCCAAAAAATAATATGACTTTAATTTTTAAAAAAATTAATAAATAAATTTCTTTCTGAAGAATATCTCGATGCAATAATCCAATTATGTAAGATGAGTCAAATGAATCTACATTTAATGACATTAATTATTGACATTTCTGAGAAAATTTTTAAAATATCCTGGAGATTTATGTGAAGTGCCAAGCAAGTATAAATTTAAATATTATTTTCAAATTTACAGGGGATTCCGGCGAGATCAAATGAGGAAAACTGATTTCGAGTTCAGTTTTCCTCATTTAGGCGCTGGTAATTTTTACGTACGGATGAACGTGTGGACAAAAAAGACAAGAGAGACGTTTTGGAAAAATAACTTTTTCAATATCAGGGGATCAGGGGATCTGTGTTGTAGTATCGCGAGTTGACGGTGGCCTAAGGCCATGAATAAGCATTCTTGGCCTCTAGATAAGAAACTACAGATATATAACACGAACTGACTGATAAATAAGCTGCAAACATTGAAGGTATTGAGGCATTGGAATTCAAATCAACATGACCATATGATACATGGACTTATATGGGGAGGGACACGCATCTTATCTGGGCAAGTTCAGTGGAACGAGTTACTATATAACACCTAACCTTCAGGTAAGCCGCACTTATTTGCGTCCTTTGGTGAGTTTATGTTTGCTTTTGAGGCTAGTGTAGGAATGTGGACATGTGTAATGTATATATTAGGTGTTAAAAGAGTTGAAATTACTTTCAATTTAATAGACGCTGTTCTCTGGTTTTAATACTTCAAAGTATGTGTCTTATGAAGAAAAATCTGACAGTTCAGTAAAATTTTAATTTGCGATTAGTTTTCCGTTTTATTTGCAGCGTACGTGGTCAAAAAATGTTATTTAATTACACCACAGGTTTATTATTTTTTAGATATATCTTTCAATATTTATATCTAATTTTTTATTTCCAAGACATTGTAGTTTTCTTCATTAGATAAATATTTTCTTTTTATATGACATTATTCTCAGGCTGATTTCCCTGAATACTCTTTATAGAAAGTTTATTGGTTCACATTGACACTTACGTGAATTTCATGTGACACACTCATATTGTTATTCATACGAAATTTAAATATTTTTTGATTCAAATTGTCTGTGAATTGAAAAGGAGAATTATAAAGCAATTGAAATTGATGAAATTTTTGAGGTAATATTTGAATTATATAAATCAATAAACCTGGGAGATGATATCTCGTTAAATTTTACTAATTAAATATTTGAATTCATTGATGGTTGCCATTAACTCGATTTTTTTCTCAGTAAATAATAACAATAATAACAAAAACAATAATAATAATAATAATAATAATAATAATAATAATAATAATAATAATAATAATAATAATAATTCTAATTGCAAAATATTATGGTGAATTTCATTTTCAAATGCAAAATTTTCGAGATCATAGATTTCACTCTATGAAAATGATGTTTGAAAGAAAGGAAAAAACGATCAAATATACTACAGATACATCCTGAATGTTGGAATATTTATTTAAAATATCATAGCGAAGAAAAACAACTATTTTTCTTCAGTACTGAAATACAACAGACGTGAGAATGTTCTGTCCGAAAGTTCCTGTTACTAAAATTCCTCATATTTTACGTTGAAGTGCAGGAAAAAATGGCAGGTCAAGTTTTTCCGTAAAAAAAATCGTTGAGAAAATTGAGTTGAAATGTTACTTCTGTGCGCGAAATTCAAACATGCTTCTGCGTTACAGCAGACTCCGGTACAGTAACTGTTTTACAAACATTTATTTATCTATTTATTTACGCCAAAAGGTTAAAAATGTGTGTGACGTACTAATGGGAGAAGTTAAATTGAAGTTAAATTTATGTCCAGAATCAAAACAAGGGGCCATCTCAGCATTTGCTCAAGGTTCAGGAAAATTGGACGAAAACCTGATCGAAATAAGGGTCATTGACCTAGAAGCTGAAGTACAATACTTGTTAAAGGTTCTTTAGCATTATACAATCCCAATGGTAAATAATACACTAATGCAGTTGTTAAATTTAATATTACTTTCCTTTTGAATGCAGGTGTAGTCTCTGATTGTATAGAAATAGTTGTGCAGCAGAAAATATTTTACTTGGGACTTAAACATTTGTAAGGAATTTAATCGTTCAATGTCATCTGGCAAGGTGTTGTAAAATAATGTACATGTATCGTGTGTGAATTTTTTGTAGTGAGCAATTGATACTTTTACCTGAAGAATATGATTAATATGTCGAGAGTTGTAGTTATAGATATCAGCGTTTGCAGAAAATATATTCGCGCCCTTAAGTAAGTCACTTTTAACAAAATCCACTGATTGATATATGAAGAGAAAAGGTAATGGTAAGATATCTAGATTAATAAAGAGAGGTTTACAAGGATCACGTGGGTAGGATTTGCTTATTATTCGTATAATTATTTTTTGTAATCTAAAAGTGTCGGAGCGGGGTCTTGCATTTCATGGAACGGGAGCTTTGCTGGGGCGTGTAAGAACATTTTTATTGTTGTCGGAATGAAAAGTGAACGTTATGGAATTATCTTAACATTGTAGAGACGAGTGTTCTGGAGTCATATTAGAAGAGTGGAAAATGTCCTGCCGAATTGAAGACAACAGCCACTTCGAAAGGCGACAGGGAAAACATGGATTGAGAAAGGTAATTACAGTATTAACCATTGATGGTGTAAATAATATTTATAACAAATTATAAAATGGGTATGATTCCTGTGTAAGTGTAGTAGATTGGAAATGAATGTTGCTATTTGATTGGATTCCTGTGTAGGAAGCTATTCGAATTCAATAAATTATCTAAACAAACACTTGTTTCGAATAGTACACTCGAACACTACAAAGCTTATAACTTTCTGTCGTTAATAAGTGTTTCATTACTGGTTACTGAAATATTTTTAATAATAATTCGTTAATGAACAACATGTCAAGGCCGGACTAACCTTTGCGAGTGCCCCGGAGCAGTTTTACTAGTATGTATTACTTGGATGTGGGGAGCTCTTATAAAAATACACCATTATTTAATCCTGATTTTTGTTAAGAAACGGCATAAATTTCCGATTCAATTCCAAATGCCAATTCAATTTAATTTGATAAGAATAATATTTGATTCGACTTATAATTTTCGAGAAAAATGTGTGTTGTAGTTAATTTTGCAGATCGATGTTCAGTAATAAACGAAAGTCACACAAAAGCACTAAATTATTATTCTACATTTTCCATTTGTATATGAGTATTGATGAATATTTCCCGCAGTTCTGCATGACCAAGGTTCGCTTTTGAACGTAAGGCCTAATGTGCCTCGAGTGAGGTGGCTCGTGTTGATAATTTCAGCGAAGACAGACAAAATCCACGATTAGATACTTGGTTGACCGGGATGAGCCGCGTCTCAGTCGATCGAGCTGACGTTTAAGCCATTGTGTTGGCCTTCTTCAGAGCATCGTGTGGTGCGTCGTGACGTGGCCTTCTTCAGAGCTATACTGCTGAGCAGAATAAGCAGGTACCAGCTAACGTGCGTTGTGTGGCAGGGGCTGCGGCCGGCGCTGTTCGCGGTGGCGCTGTGGGCGCTGGTGGGCTCACTAGGGCATTGACGAACTTGAGGGACTAATGACCATAGTACAGATGACGTACATTGTGTGGCAGGGGCTGCGGCCGGCGCTGGTCGCGGTGGCGCTGTGGGCGCTGGTGGGCTCACTAGAG